TGGAAGAGCATAGTCAATGTCACTGAACTGTGCATGTAGAAATTTTTGAAATGGTGTATCTTTGGCTATGTGTATTTTCACCAAAAAAAAAAAACGTTGAGAAGTTAGAGGGTTGACAAGTTGTGGGGTTGTTAACCAATGTCATAAAATAATATTTGTACAAAAAAAAAATATATATGTCCTTTAGCAATTAACACTTAAAGTAGTGATACTATTTTGGGGCGTGGGGTGGGGGGAGAAATTGGAGGTTGTTAATGATATTTTTTATCATTTAAAATGAGTACTTTAGATAGAAAGGATAGGAGTGACTGCTGCACACTACTGGCAACTTTTGGAATGGAGACTGCCCTTACCCAGGAGTCAGGAAAACTGTATTTTAGGCCAAACGTAACCACTAAGTAGCTGGTGATCTTGGGCAGGTCACTTTGCATCACTGGGTCTACCTGGACTTAATTTCTCTTTGTTAATCCAATGTGGCTTAGAATAATCAGGAAAGAATTTTGCAATTATGAAAGTCTCAGAGTTAGCCTCAGGAATGATAACACTATTATATAAAAACTTACAAAATTCTAATCATTTAAAATTTGGTTATTTGTATTGCAGTATATAGAACGGGGAAAATGCCTTTATCAAGTATCTAGTATTTCAGATATTGTATGGGATGGTTAATGTTATGTGTTAAGTTGGCTAGGCTGTGATTCTCAGTGGTTTGGCAGATACTGGGATAGGTACTCTTCCATAATGTGATATAATGTGATCACTTTCCATGATGTGATCTTATGTGGTCAGCCAGTTAGTTGAAAGGGGAGTCTCCTTGGGGGTGTGGCTTGCCTCCAGTATATAAATGGATGCTCTGACAAAGCTCACTCTCTCTCTTGACCCTGCACTCTTTTCATCTCCTGACCTCTTGTTCTTGGGACATGAGCCTGAAGAGGTCACCAGATTGCTGTCTGATCTGCAGATTTTGGATCTGCCAAGCCCTGCAACCCCGTGAGCCAGCAGAGGTCTCCAGCCTGCCACCTGACCCATGGATTCAGGACTTGCCAGCCCTCACAACTGTGTAAGCCATTTCCTTGAAGTAAGTCTCTTTGTATATATTTATACAGTTAGTTCCTGACTTACAGACTTACAACGTATTCAAGTTTCGACGAGCCACACTTAACAAACATCTGTTTTATATACAGTGTTGCAGCATGTAATTTTCTGATGTTAATCATTCTCAGATGTTCCTTTGTAGATGTTTATATGAATGTTTCCAATCCCCAAAGACAAATAAAGATTGGATTTATAAAGATACTGATAATAAAAGACAATAATAATGAAAACTTAAAAAAAAAAAAGAGGTATTCAACTTATGCCAGCACCAACTTACAAGGGAGTCATCGGAATGGAACCCTGTCATAATTTGGGGACTATCTGTATATATGTTTCACTGATTTTGCTCCTCTAGAGAACCCAGACTAAGACATTGTATATCATATTTTAAAAATGAAATCCTCACAAAAACCTGAGATAAAAACAATCTGTGAGTTTCCTGTCTTGTAAGTGGTGATGTCAGCATTCAAACCTAGGTCAGTGTCCAAGTCCCATGCTCCTTTATTCTGCCACGTGCCTTAGACACTATGCCTTAGACATTGTATAAAAAATGAAAGATTCCTAGCCTCAAAGACTATCAATATCATGAGTCTCTGCTTCCCTCTAAAAATTATCCCTTGAGAAACTGTAACAGCTCAAGAAACATTTTTATTATTAAAGAAATATGTTTTTCTTTAGAGAAAGCTTCAAAGTTAAGGAAGTAAACAGAGTCTGGCAGAGTTCACAAAACCACAAGACAAGATCTCTCACCTTCGGGCTGATAGAGTAAATATTGACATCCTTTGCTTCAAAACAAGAGCAACTATCACACAAATGGATTGCATAGCTCGAAGGGGTGTACTTCCTACTGTGAAAGGGCTGAGAGGCTTGGGAATTGCAGTAATGATTCAAGAGAATGGTATACTGACACTGGAGTGGCCTTACGAAAAGAGGAAATGGTTTCTATAGCTGCTGATAAAGTTCTCAGGTGCCTTTTCAGGATACACATGCCACTTAAACCCAGTAGTAGTTTCCATTTTAATTATTCTTCCCCCTGCTTCATCTAAGCAGAGTCTTCTTAAATGGGAGAGAATTTTGTATCCTTTCAGTCTTGCTTTATTCATCTCTAAAAGGGTAGACTTGGGCTAAGTTCATTCTTTAACTTTTAGTATTCTGAAGCCACAGTTTTAAATTTAGAATTTGTTTTGGGTGGGGATCCATAAAAAAATTTCAGATTTTGGGGGACAGACAGTAATAGGCTTATTTTTTCAAATATGGAAAATATGAAGCATTTATTGCTTTTTTTTTAAACAAGTCAATATAGCTAAATAGAATACTGCTGCTACAAGTATTAGGTACACACTGTATGCAAGTTCAGCATCTCTACAATGGGGTGAGAACAGCAATAGAGGTTTAACCCAAGGAAAAGTTAGCCAGATTAAAGAAAACAATGTAGAAATGGCTTTCAGTTGTTATCTTTGTGAAATAATCCATACTGAAAAAATAACAAGTTAAAAGAATAGTAATTTAGAGACTATTTTTACCATTGTTAGGTTTGCTAAATAATAATCCAAACACATGTTCACTGTTTACCAGCCCTGCATCTTCAGTCCCTCCCCATTCTGAAAAGTCTCCCAAAATTTACCAATTTGCGTCTTCGTCCCTGTTTACCTTTGTACCCCACTCTCCCACCTGCTCTTATCCTCTAACTTCCACTGAAGAAAAGAATGAGCAGAGGAGTGAAGAATTGTTTTTCTCCCCAGGAGTACTACAAACTCAGTGAGGGCAGTCAAGTCTGTTTTGCTCTATGCCCGTTAACTAACAATTACCTGTTGAATGGATGAAGTGACTTTTCTTCAAGCCAGAGTATCTAGAGCATTGCTGGAAGCTTCCTACTCCAGTGGAAAATGGAAAGCCCTGTCTGATCCTCAGCTTTCTGCTTTTTGGCTGAGATGCCTGTTTTTATGAAAAGAGGGTTTTCTCTGCTTATGGAGAAGGAATAAGGGCAAAGCCAGCTCTAGCTGTAATTGCTAAGTTTGAATTCTCACTCTTCCTCTTTCCCCCAGGGCTTTTCTTCTCTGCCCAGCTATAAATGATTTATTTCTTCTAGTGAAAATGCTTAAATTTAACAGGTCTTTTTAGTATTGTATTTCTAGGTTCCTTTTGAACAAATACATATTCTGTATTAGTAATGAAAGAAAATCTAATAGAAATATGAACTGGGGATGTGAATTATCAATTTAAGTGAACTTATAAAAATATTTTAATTCCTACCAATGATTTAAACTGCACGTTAAAATGAGATACCGGTTTTTGCCAATGTAAGAAATTGATGATATCCAGCTTAGTTAAAAAACCAAAAAACCAAATCCATTGCCATCACGTCAATTCTGACTGGTAGCGACCCTATAGGATAGAGTGGGACTGCCCCATAAGATTTCCAAGGAGCAGCTGGTGAATTCGTACCGCCAACTTTTTAGTTAGCAGCCAAGCTCTTAACAACTGTGCCACCAGGACTCCAGTTTAGGTAAAGAAGTAGGGAAATAGTCACTTTGTAGAGAATTCTTGACAATGGTTACTTTGAGATGGGAAGAAGGGGAAGGCTGAGATGTATCGTTTCAGTGTTCCATATGAGGACTACCTCTTTTGCTGTAGGAGGCTATGATTTTTATCACCTAAATTTTATATATTGTAAACCTAATAGAGAAAAAATTATTAAAGCAGAATTTCAACCCTAATTCCATTTAAAGCAAGTGTTTTTGTTTTTCTATGTTCCCTTTTATTCCTGCATATATTATTTACTGAGTGCTTTATCTGTGCCATGCACTTTGCTGGACAACTACAGTGAATATGCAGGCACACATGCGTACCTTATGCACGAGCATGTACACTTGGATGTGCGCACACACCGCACACACACACTCTCTCGTGTCTCTGCTCTCATGCGCAGATTTCATCTGAATGCATGCATGTTTTTACATTACTCTAGCACAGAACTGATGTCTCCTATTCTTTTGCTTAACTTTATGTTTTATTACCTAAATTTAATAACTATTTTGAATATGTCATCAAAGAGAAGCCTCAAAATATACATAGTTACCGCCCTATACATTTAGGATATGTACACCTTTTCATAGTTCATAATCTGTGGTTTAATGATCTATTAATATCTACACATAAATCACTATGTGCACTCCGGAGAGAATTTGTGATGGGGTACAAGAAATATTTCAAAGGATTCTTCACACTATATAAGCAGATTCCAGAGGGGAATCAGTTATTTTAACGGCTCTTCTTGTATACCTTGCATACCAGCACAGGCCTTCCTTGCAAGTTTTCCTTTAATATGGTCACCACAGTACAGGACATCTTTAATTCTCCTTAAGTAAGATCAAGTTCTTCTTCCTTCTTATGTTTGTTAGGCTTCCTTTTTCATTTTGGTTGAACCAGAGGAATTAAAAAAGAACGACAACACAAGACCAGGGACTGCAAAGCTACTTGATGTGAGGGAGCAAAGGCAAAGAAGGGGCAATGTGAGGTGATGGAGAGGCTGAGAATAAACTTATCTTTGATGATGCTTGGTGACAAGACCACTTCTATTCCTTACACAAAGTCCCACATATTCTGCCTCTGAAAAGCTCCTTAAATGAATAATAACATGGTTTTGTCCCAGAGGCATGGTCTTTCTCCTTCTCTTCTGTAGAACCCATGTTTTTCAGCCCACCAAAGAGAGTTCAGAACTTCCCCACAGTGTTGGAATCTTGGAGTTCAAACTGCACACATTCATTTATTAAAGGACATTCTTACCACTCATTTTGGAAGAGGCAGCATAGGCCCGGCTCTCTATTATTATTACTATATTATTATTACTCCCCATTGCTAACCCCCGCATTGTCTCATGATCTTGCTTTTCCCTCCCATTCCAGTCTCTATAAAAGGTTTAAGATTAACAGACATTCCTCCTTGGAGGGTGGAAAACAAGTGATAATGATCTAGGAATGAAAAACTGAACCAAGCACACATCTTGGGACAAGAAAACCAGGGTGTCGCCAGATAACCCCCAAGAAAAGATTAACTTATCTGGGACGTGACCACCTCAAGGAGGAACTAACACAAACTTGTAAGACCCATAATCCTGTCCCTATAAAAGCCTTCAGCCGATCTCCAGTGAGGGAGATGGGTTTTTGGAGGAATCTATTCCCCTCTGTCTCCTATGTATTGATATATAATAAAACTCTTGCTGCTCACCTCACCCCTGTCTCAGAATTGGCTATTGTGGCAGGCAGCTCCAATCTGCATTATTGCAGTAACAATTTCAGTTCTGCCTAAGGATATAGACAGATCCTCAGGCTATTTCACTCCCCTAGAGGCAGGAGAGTAAGGTTCTGAGCATAGAATTTCATGTTAAAAGATTTGAATTTGAATCATGCATGGGTTGGCTTGTGATTAGATTTTGGACAATTTGTTTCACTTCTCTGAACTAGTTTTTGTAAAATGAGAATATTAGTATTTTCTTTTTCATAAAATTGTTGTGAAGATTGTGTGGATACCTAGCATAGGTAACTGTGATCACCATCATTATAATCATTATTATATTATTTTATAGGTCTAAAAAACTGTATACTTTATAGATCCCATATAGGATTACACTGTCCATTCTTTCTTATTTCTAGGTTCTGACTTTAGTCTCAATCCTTGGGGAAGTTCTCATCTCTCCAGATTTTCTTGGGACATGTCCCAGTTCTCCTGGTCTTTTCCTAGCCTTCAGACCACATTGCTTTCTCAGAGGCCCCTTGACATCCTGGACGACAATGCCTCTGTTACACATCTTCAGACCAAACTGAACAAGCCTTTGTCTTGATATATTGGTCAGGAAAAGATTCCAAGAGAGCCTTTTCTACCTTCTGTAACCTAAACTTCCAATCTTCCCACTTTGCATTTTCAAGCTTTCCCCAAAATTTTATTGCTATCTTTAATTTATTCTTGACCTAAGAGTGATTTATGTGAAGTTTTTTTTTTTTTTTTTGCAAGTTATAGAGTTCTATAGATTTGTTGGAACCCTGGCGGCACAGTGGTTCAGATTTTAGCTGCTAACCAAAAGGTTGGCAGTTTGAATCTACCAGCTGCTGCTTGGAAGCCTTGTGGGGCAGTTCTACTCCATTCTATAGGATCGCTATGAGTTGGAATCGACTCTACAGCAATGGGTTTGTTTTTTGTGTGTGTTTTTTTAATAGAAATATTAAAAATTGTTATTTTTTTCTGCCTTCCAAGCAGCTGTTAGTATTTCTTAGCACAAAATTCTAATCATTAAAATAAAGCATTAAAGCCTTCATTTACATTTTGATTTCTTCTATACTTTTACTTCTATGTAAGAGGTAACTCGTTTATATCTTGAGGGATAGGGCTTTACAACATTATTGTATGGTCTTTTTTCAGACATTCAAAGACCTATGCAGTCTATCTCAATTCAGTAAAGCCTCCCTAGGTAAGGAATTGGAAACCCTGGTGGTGTAGTGGTTAAGAGTTTGGCTGCTAACCAGAAGATCAGCAGTTGGAATCCACCAGGTGCTCATTGGAAACCCTATGGGGCAGTTCTACTCTGTCCTGGAGGGTTGCTATGAGTCAGAATCGACTTGATGGCAACGGATTTTTTTTGTTTTTAAGGTAAGGAATGAGAGGAGCCCTGGTGGAGCAATGGTTAAACGCTCAGCTGCTAACCAAAGGTCAGCGATTCGAACCCACCAGCCGCTCCACAGGAGAAAAATGTGGTAGTCTGCTTTTGTAAAGATTTACAGCCTTGGAAACTCTACAGGGCAGTACTACTCTTTCCTATCAGAGCACTATGAGTTGGAATCAGTTTGGGATTTGGTTTTGGTCTGGAGGTAAGGAAAACTGGGAGTCAACTTGGGCTTAGTTAAGATGAGCCCGATATGTTTAATCGTTTATCAAGAAAAACAATTTGATTTGTTTCAGTCCATAATCATAAGTTTATTAAGGGTTGACAATTTGGGATCTCTAGAAAATTATTTTGATGAATAGATATGTATTTGTAATTTATTATGAAAGAGATCTGTGCAAGCAAATACTTATTACCAGCTCAAAACCTTTTTTATGGGTCAAATAATGTCACCAGAATATTATTTAAATTATATTTTGCTCTCCTAGCTCATAAATATGTTGTGTTATCCAACAAACATTTATCCTGGATATTAGTAATAAAAGGCAATCAATCCTATAGAAAAATTAGGAAAGGATATGAACAAGTACTTAACGTTAGAAGAAATATAAGTGATCAATAAGCACTTGAAAATGCTTACAATTTGAATAAAAACAAAAATTAAACTGAGATCTTGTTAAAATTTATCATGTTGCTAATACTATAAAAGATCCACAAAATCTATTGTTGGCCATAAATTGAGGTAGCACTGTTCAATAGAACTCTCTGCCATAAAGGAGATGTTCTATATCTATGTTGTCCAAAATGGTAGTCACTAACCACATGTGTTTATTAATCACTTGAAATCTGGCCAGTGTGACTGAGAACTGAATTTTTTGTTAAATTTAATTTAAATATAAATAGCTACATGTCATGAGTGGCTATCGGTTGGACACCATAGGTATGGAACAGGTGAGAGAAAACAGTCCATTAAATCTTTTGTGGTAGTATGAATTGACACACCCTTTTTGGAGAATAAGTTGGAAAAATTATAATATAAAAAGCTCGTATATTTTGACTTAGCAATGCTGATATTGATAACCCATATTATAAAAATGCATGCAAGTGTGCAAGAAAAGTCAAGTAATATTTATTGCAGCATAATTTGTGAGATTCAATACTTAGAAACCACTAATATCCATTAAGACAAAAGAGATTAGATAAATTGTGATATGTTCATACTATGAAATTTTATATTATTTTTAAAAGTATATGTTGGTCTGAAGATACTAACTTGAAAGTCTATCCATGATAGTTTCTAAGATGGAAAAAAAAAAATTGTGTAGCAAAAAATAACATAGAATGGCAAACTCACTTTCCAAAGAAGAAAATATATGTGTAGATGTTTGTCTATGCATAGAAAAACATATGATACTATATGAAAAGAAAACGCCATTGGTAGTTTTCACTGGAGGGTGGGGTTTATATACTGATGTGCTGCGTGAATATCCTAAAAGCATGTTTTCTTTTTGAAATTAGAAAGAAATACATATGAGAAAAATTAATTTTTATTATATGTTCAATAGACATTGGATAGGATTCAGACTATGCAAAACTTTTATCCTACCTTGTAAGATTTTGCAATTTTGAAATTCTATAGGGAAGATAGACATAAAAATGCATATATAAATAGCTATGAAATTTGGGATGCTGACCATACCAACATAAGAAAGCAACAGGATAGATGACTGTATATTTATGCTTAATTTTTGCAGGTGGAGTTGCTGAAGGTATTTGCAATCCTTATGGAGAAATGTGGGTGCAAGGTCAGTCGAGCAATCAACCATGACTCAATACCAAGGTCATGTGGCATCCCTCTTGGTGATTGGGATCTCCTCTTTTAAGCTTTCTGTTATTGGAAGGTCTCTGATCAAATGGAATGATCTTTCTAAAATATAAATTTAATCTCTCTCAAACATTAGAAGTCTCCACACAGTTTACAGAGTATTGTCAAGTTCAAATGCCTTAGCATCATACGCTAAGACCTTAAAAATCTGGCCCCAATTCTGTTTCACAGATTTATCTTTCACTATTTCCTCTTTTCTTCCCTCTTGCAGCAGACTCTTCATCCTGAAATATTTCAGGCACTCTCAAACCTGTATGACTTTTTTCATGTTGTTTTCTTAATAATACCCTTAATTACACTCCACTGTCTATCTACCTGTAGAACTTAAGACCTAACTTAAATGTCACCTCTTTGAATCCTTCTCTGATGCCCCTAAGTAGAACTAATGCCTCCCATCCCTTCTATTTTCTGTAAGTCTCTATAGTTACTTCTGTTGTAAGTTAGAGATAATGATTTGCATTACTCATTACCATTTTCCTCGTTCAGTGATGAGTTCCTCAGGCTGGTATCATGTCTTACTCATCTTTATATGAGGTGATGCATATAGGACCTAGCAAACAGTAAGCTCCCCATGTGTGGAGCTATTATTTTGTTATTTATATTTCTAGTGCATCCTCAAATATATTACAAGATTGCTGCTTAACTGATATTGCTTGAATTAGTGAATTTCTTATAGCACATACTTCAAATACTTCTCAATCAGCTAAACTCTGGGTGAAAAGAGGACTGTCATATTGTACATCTGTGCTTTTGTGAATCCTGGAAGTTCTTATCTTCTCTGCTCTTAGCTTCTCATCTTGCTCATTGTCCGTATATCCTCATTTAATTAATTTATTCCAGAAATATTTATTGAGCACCTATTATGAACTAGGGAGTCCCGGGGTGGTACAGAAGGTTAACATGCTTGGCTGCTAACTGAAAGGTTGGAGGTTCAAGTCCACAAAGAGACACCTTAGACAAAAGTCCTGGAGATATACTTCTAAAAAATCAGCCATTGAAAACCCTGTGGAGCACAGTCTACTTCAACGCACGTGGGGTTGCCATGAGTCAGAATCAACTCAACGGCAACTGGTTTTTTTTTTTTTGTGTGTGTGTGTGTGTGTGTGTGTGTTTTAATGAACTAGACAGTTTACTAGGCACTGGGAATACAGAAGTAAAAAAGATGGAAACCATTCCTCCCCCCACAAAACTTAGTGTCTATGTGAGAACATAAATATTAAACAAAGGGTTATTTAAGTTTGATACGTGTTATTCAGGA